TCGTGGTTGCTTTGAATCAGACCTCAGCTGTTTACACGGAATGCGCCAGCCAAGTATTTATGTGCCCTTGAGATAATGTAATTTATGAGTATATACAAAAATGTAGCTCAGAATGCCGAAACAGAGAGGGTGTTCTTTGAGACAGTGGTGCCTGGCCAGCGCCCGAATGAGGTCGATTATTATGTGTGTGCTAGCTTGAATACAATTGTATAATGAATTGTGAATTTGTGAGNTGAAAATTAGATATGTGGTAATCGATTTTTCATACCCCGTGAAAATTCCGATTTCCAGCTGTCGGACTGAAAAAACGCGGCTTGAAATTTGTCGGACAACAATACTTTTTGACTGAATTAATTATTTACAATTAATTTTACTAAAAATTACGTATGTGGTAATTGATTTTCAATACCCTGTTATTTTGGCATGTTTCGACCGGTAGACACGTCAATGTCGGAGGAATTTCTGTCGGACAAATTTAAATCGGCATTCGCAACAAAATTTCCAGTTACTTAAGCTAAAAATAAAAGATGTGGTCTTGAGTTTTCAAGACCCCGGGAAATTGCCATGTTTTTAGACTTTTCCGAGTGGAAAAGCGGAGGAATCGAGAAAAGTCGTAGAGGAAAAATGTGGTAGACTCGTCAAAACGAAGCTCCTCAGGAGTTATAAAGTATGTGGTAATCAACTTTCCAGGGGGGGGCCTGTACTGTGGACTAGTATTCTTTGATACCAGAAATAAGTAGAATGCAAAAGATACATCCAATCCCACACACAAGTCTCCTAACTACTGAAATTGCGGGAAACAATTACTCTATGGGTTTTATTCCCTAACTAGTATTGAATTACACCATACTAATGTCTAGTCATCCATTTGAAATTGAAATGTTTCAATTCGTTTTCTGGCGCTATTAACTTCTATATATTGTTTTAACAATAAGAGAAAATAAGAAAATGTAGTTATTTTATTGTTTTACATTATATTATATTATTTAAATTTTTACATAAGGAAAAATATTATAATCCATGGTTATTATTGTTTTATCTGAAGATGGGAAAAATAATCTCGAAATGATCGTAATAAAAAAATTTTTATAAAAAATTTGTTTAACAAAAAATTATTTAATTGTGACCTGTTCTCATTGTAAATTAATAATTATATTATTCGAGAAATGATATGGTCAGAAAAAATCTTTATATAAGGCGATTAGTCTTCGTCAAGATTGATAATTAGGACATGAGTAATGCAAAATGTGTTCCAATACTAGTTCTGTACCTCAGAGCTAAACTGTATTAACTCCATTTTTTACGAAAATGGGATTATTTGACAGCCCAACACAGTTTCTTATGCTCTTTCACGTGCTAAACAGTAATAACTCCCACTCATGATATTTTCGAAGATAGACAGTGCTAAATAATAATAAGTCCCAATCTGTCTCCAAGCTAGACAATCTTATGTGTATTTAATATTAACCGTGTTTCATTTCCACAGTATTAAGTTCCTTGTTACATCAATTTAATCCGAGCCAAACAGGTGTATATGTGGAGTTAATATTCTATTAGTTTGACTTCGGAGTATTAACTCCACACATATCAAGATCATGTTGGTTTACTTTAGTATTATATCCACATTCATCATGTGTAGACGTGTTTTTGTAGTGTTGGTGATAACTGGTAAATTATTAGTTATTGAAAAAGTGACTAATGACATGTAAAGGCGACATTTCTGTTTAAAGAATAACAATTACATTTGTTTTTGTTTTTTTCTATCCAGTTTATTAAAAATCAAAAGTGTTGTTGGTTTATTTAAACTTTAGTTTTTTTAATGAATATTATCTGAAGTTTATATTTTTAAACATATTTATTGAATGTAGTTTATTTATTGTTTTGTTGTTTGTACTACTTCAATAAAAAAAAATTAAACTGGTAGTTTTTATTAGTATTATCCTCAGTATTATCGCACAATTAGTAAATATTAATATAAAATCCCTAAATCATGTTTGTGCCAAATAGTGTTAACTCCATTTTTTCTAAAAAAAAATACGAATAGAAAATTATTCTTTAAATTACAATAAATAATATTAAAATATACGTATAACTTCACATCATACTAATTCCTTTATCAAGGAGAAGTAAGAGTTCGAAGTTATGGAATGATAAGCAAAATTTAAATCTTTAAATCTCTCTCTCCTGTAAAATTTCATTTTTGGCACTTTTTAGCTCTGAGGTACAGAGTTGAGGAATATAGCCCATAGGGTAGTTGTTTCCCGCAGTATCAGAAGTTGTGAGTCTCATCTCTGGAGTTGCGATTTCATTTGATAAGACTTTTTTAGCAATTTTTTTAATTCTTTGAATTAGCTTAAGATTTTTTATAATAAAAAAATGTGAGAGCCAATAATAAAACTAGAATACTAGAAGGTTCATAAAATTGTGTATTTAGAATTTGCAGATTCGGTGTTTTTTCCTCCGGTTTGGGCCTTTCACCTATTAGTTCCTTTTTTATATAGTTTTGATAATGATGGTAGCACACTTTATGAATATAAATAATACTTAGCCGATATATCGAGACGCTTAATTCCGCGAGGCTTAAACTGTTATACGTGAAAGTCTAATGAATTTTTAAACTTTACGGATACAGTTTATATTTTCATAGTGCTTAAAAGAAATTATATAATAATTTATGTATTCAAAGTTAATTATAGAACTAGAAAATACGAAATAAGTATGTGTAAAAAGAACCCCTATGAATATGGAAATGTAATGAAATGATGAATAATATAAAATATACCCAAGTATATTTTTGTCTGTTTGCTACTCTAAAAAGTTAGATGATTTTTTTCTTCTAGGCGAAGGACCTATCATCTTTTGTTTTTAAGATACATAGTGTTAAAGAGATTTTGTATAATTAAGTTTTGGCTACAACTTACATTGAAATTTAATAGAAGTATAGGTATTTTTATGGAGAATAACATCAGTGTTAATAGTTTTCGACTATCTTGTAGAGATCACTAATAATTTTTCTACACCAAACGCTTCACATGGAACTTGCCATAAATATATACTTAGGTATAGTACACATAAGTATCAGCAAAAGTTAACAAATTAACAATTTCTTACTCATAAGGAAAGCGACTGTAGAAAATACAGTTGTCTTAAGTGTTCCCCGGTTAATCGTCTTAATCGGTAAACACCCATTTCAGAAATGAAAATGACTGGTTAACATTTACCGAGGTCACAGGCGCATATCTGAAAAAAGTTTCAATAGATACTCTTTTACTAACGGTGGTGAAGTATCAACTACTTCACATTTTAATAATCGCATTATCCGCGTTAATGTACAATATTTACATATCTGCTCCTGATCTGAAGCTTCGCATCGATCAATTTATTCCATACATATTTAGCGGCATCCTAATGCCTGCCCTGTGGGTCTAGTATGCCGGTGAACAATCCAGGTTTTTTGCTGAGGCACGTTGGCCGTGAATTTCATTGTCGTTTGTGCGTGTGTAAGTGAGATTGACGCTTTGCTTGGTTGAGTGTATGGCACATGTTTTTAGAGTAGTCAGTAGCATAGAGCGGCACACGGCTTCACTACAGATTTACTCTGTCTACTACTACAACGCGTATTGCCGCTTAGCTAGCACAATATAGATTACTACTGTTTATTTATTTGATTGTCGCTACAAAGTTTCCGATGTCTAGTAATAAGTTATTTTGTTTCTCACTGTCCATCATTTAATATCATAGATAGGTACAAACAAAATCTACTTTTTTAAATCAGAAACACTTTGCATATATTTTCATAAGTATATTAAAATCATATATTTTCGAATTAACCAATTTTTCTTCTATCAAGATGCATTTAGCTAACAATAAGTGCAGAAATTTTACTTACAATTAGTTCAAGATTATAAATAAATTCATTAAACTCTATCAAAAAATAAAATTGTTGCGGAAATCCTTAAATAAATAAATAACCTATAATCTTGAACTTGTTTTTCACATAATAAAAATAAATCTTGAAAAAAATTGCAAAGGTCAGGATTATGACTTTTTAGTATAAATGTACTCTTGATATTAATCACAAAATTTTCCTTGTACCTTTTACGTACTAAATTCTAATTATTACCAAAATTCACTTCCATTATAATAAAAAATATGTTTATCATATATGTATATCAAAAAATATAATAGGTATCCTCATCCTTTATCTTATGGAAAAAAAAGAAGCACGAGGGTTTTATCTTTTGAAAAAACAATATCGGGAAAAAATTTTACAAGACGACATTGTTTTATTGTAATAAAAAAATCAATATACCTACTCTAGTTTTGTCTATATTGAAAAATGACGTGATGAATCCAAAATTAATAAATAAAAAACATAATAGTAAGAGAAAATCATAACTTCGTCGATTAGGTACCGAAAATATGTACAATATAATACAATACAATTTATTTTTACTTGCTCAGTAGTGATCAATACAATACTATTAAGTATTAAGTACTTATTTAAGAATTTAGTTTAAGTATTACAACAACAAACACATGTATAATGAAATTTACATATAGCAACTCACATTAATAACTTCACTTATCAAGTTTTTTCATAAATTCAAGAAAAATCATGCTTCGTTCACACGGTACGAAACGACACTTGAATTGAATCAAACTGAGGATCTTATAGTCTCAACATGCAGATTGAAAAGTGTGTGCCACATCATTCGACATTTTTATGGTTTTTACTTGATAACCGAATCCGTACCACGAAAAGGGTCAGAAGGATACATTTCAGTTTTGTATACCTATATGTAAGTAATCAGAAAATGTTTCTTCTGGATAAAATATGAAAACAAAAAAAAAATATGAAAACAAAAACTAAACTTTAAAAAAAAACTTTTTTGTAAAGCGTATTAACGTTACATTATATAACCAATAAATAAATAAATAAATAAATAAATTCATAGATTTGTAGATAGGTGTAATTAAGGTTGCTAAGGAAAACTCACCATTTTTCACAACGCAGTTCACTATGATTTGCACCAATTTTCCGTATATCGTCATGCTGATCCACTCTGTAAACCACATCTAACGTAAGACTACATGAAACTAACTGGTTTATGTGTATATCTTTCTTATGTCGTTCATGCATGGCTGAAAACATGAGCGGCTCGTTATAATTAAATTTGAATTAAATGACGTAAATAATATACTGAATGATACATTTAAAATTTATGGATTATTATTTATAAATCTAGATTTTAAACGTGTGTATAACACAACAATTGTTTCAGTTTTTTTATATTGTACTCGTAATTGTATAATTTTTATATTCGATTTTATAACTAATATATCCTCTATAAAATAAAATTCGTCTAAGTGGATATTTGTTAGATCCGTACAGATTTAAAAATATACTCAATATAGGCAATAACAATACAGCAAAAATAAAAAATCTAAAATAATTATATTTTATTTTATTCGAGAAACGAACCCAATCAGGGTTAAAGTATATTCTAATTTTGTAACAAGTTAATCACACAGATGAACAAAGAACAAGCTTGCAAAGTCGCCACTGAAGATGCAGACACATTAGAACAGCGAAACGTTTAGAAGCACTGGATGAGAGCATTTACAGACCACTATAGAACGAATCAAAGGACCACCATTGTTTAGTCCGTAGTGGCCCTAGAACCAGCGATAAAAGCCGGTATCAACATCGGGACGGGTCTGGGCATTCTACTAGAAGGTGCGTCCCCACCGAGCTCAGCCCGAGAACAACAAGGCGACCCCAAAAGGTATTTTATTTTAAATGTCAACCGAAATCGTGAAAGCGTTAAAACCACTGCTAAACTGTATTATTATATTCGATAAATTATCCACAGATTTTATTTAGAATAAGAAGACAAAATTGAAACATGTTTTCTTCATTTTGTTCTCAAAAAATATGGTTATTTTAATCAACACCATGAATTAATAACGTATGTATCAAGCACAGTCCAAACTAGTGAATAGATTAATTTATTCTTGATTTTGAAGAAAAATTCTGAGGCATGTTAATTTTGTTTTTAAAATGATTCTGTGAAACAAACTTTTCCCACTCTCTACCCCTTATAATAGCACTCATCCTTGGAAATTTGTAATCAGAAACGGGTTTAAGTAAAACTCCATTTTAAAGATATTTATATTCAGTACCTACATATTTTTCAAATTCCACGAATTGATTACCAAGAAATATAATTTTTATATTTAAATATGTATTAAAAATAGTAGATCCATCGAATCTCAGTCAGTACTTATTTTTTTTTTTACTTCGCTTATTACAGTACTTGCAGAAAAGTATATATTTTATATGGACTCTTTTTAAAACTTTGTATCACATCTAATGAAAAATAAAACTATTTGTTGTTTATGCAGCACAACAAATGCATATCAAATGCCGTTTGTCATCGGATGTCTTCATTTTATTTTGTAACAAACTACATCTGTAAATGAAAAATCATCAAACTTCTACATGCCTAAAGGGCTTAAGTGACCCTATATTTTTCAGATAATTTTTTACAACTTTTTTGTTTACAGTTTTAAAAAAATATATAAACGGTTAGAAAATCTTACTAAAGTGTCCTCTTATTACAAATCTAGATACAACATTAGCCGTTTCCTAAAAAAAATATTTAAAATTGCTATTATAATTCTCAAATATCACAATTTTTATAAATTAATCAATATAAGTTGGCAGATTTATTTAATGATTACAATTGTATAGATATAGAACATTTTTGTTCAGATTCTATAGTTTATTTTATCACAAAACAGGTCAGTTTAATTATTTTTAAGTATGTCTAAATTATTAAATACATTTTTCCTCAGAAAGTAGCAACGTAGTAAAGTTGGAAAATTTGTTTATAATATAATATAGGGTAAGTGTACATAATTCCGACAGTGTCCATAAATCAGTCAGATTGCAACAATATTGCTTTAAATAAGAAAATGTAATCACAAAATAGTTTTAAAAGACATCTAGTGGCATCTTTCAATATTAATGAAAATTCTGATTTCGGTTCTCTACTTTACCGACTGGGCCATCATTGTGGAATTATAACCTGAAAATTCCAAGTCATTGTGTAAAAGCGAACGTGATTCTGTGGATTGTAAATGTTCTTAGATAGGAGAAAAATTGTTTGTTTTTGAACTAAGGTAATTTAGGCTTTTAGCTTGATTTTTGACTAAATTATGTGTTGACCTCCTTTTATACGTATGAAATATTATTAAAAAATGCATGGCTTTCAAAAAATNAAAGAACTTTAGAAATAAACAAACTTAACACTTATTTAAAGTATCCTGTATTTTATACACAATTTTTATTTTATCACGGTGTTTTCATTCGCTTGCTTTCTTACACTGTCGGAATTATGTACACTTACCCTATGTATTTTAACTATGAAAACTAAATAAAGTGGTAGTAGAAATTTGTTAAAAGTTCTGGTCCAATTCTTGTGCTTTCAAATCGTCGTTTTCCTACCTTTATCCAATCTGCGTTACGCTCATGGAAGGCGGTAATAACAGCAAGGCCGTTCATTTTACTCATGACACTGGTCTGTCAAGGTAATTCTATGGATACTGTTTAACTTAGGTATTTTATATATTTTTATGACTAATAAGTGTTTTTAATTAATAGACTTATTATTGCGCCTAAAACATAAACTAATGTAATTATACCTAGTTTTATTTCCAAGGTTAACTAAATTACTGCTCTGTGTCTGAAGTTCAGGAGTCTAATTAAAAGGTAATACGTTTATTTTAACTGGGTTACTAAATAAATATCTAATCTATTGTAATTCAATCTAATTTTCATTTAATGAAATCGCGTTAAGGTATCGATTTCATCTAGAAAAGTTTCCAAATTCGTTTTTTACAGCCCCATTCACATACGAACTTTAACAGGTGAAATTTTAAATAATCCAGAAACAGTTGCTGAAGAAATTGCTAGGCAGTTCGAGTTGGCAAGTTCCTCGGAGAATTATAACGCCTCTTTCTTAGAATAAAAATTTGAACAAGAAAGTATCTTAGATTTTTCCACCAACCAGACTCTATCATATAATTTACCTTTTAACCTACAAGAACTTGAAATTGCACTAAATGCAACCAAATCGGGTGCTATTACGAACGAATGTTGAAACAACTGACATCTGAAATTAAGGTTTCACTATCAAACCTATTCAATGATATGTGGAACAAAAATACTTACCCAAACGAATGGAAACAAGCCATTATAATACCTATTTTGAAATCTACCAAAGATCCCTTCTTTCCTCCAACTATCGCCCCATTAGCCCCACGTGCTGTATGGGAAAATTGTTTGAAAGGATGATCAATAATCGCTTGATGTGGTTCCTGGAATCAAAAAACATTTTTATTCCTGCTCAAACTGGCTTCAGAAAGGATAGGAACTCCACCGATCATCTAGTTGCTCTTGAGAACTGTATACAAGAAACCTTTAGAAAAAAAGAGCATATGATTGCAGATTTCTTTAATATTAAAGGGGCTTATGATATGACATGGCGTCATGGAGTCATGCAGAAGTACATAAATATGGTGTTCGAGGAAAGCTCCCTCTAATGGTAGAATCTTTTCTAAGAGACCGTCATTTTCAAGTCAGAAATGGTGATATTTTGTCTGCTGGTTCTTGAAAATGGGCTACCGCAGGCCTCCTCCCTAAATTGTACCTTATTTGCAATAGCAATCAACCATACTACTGATGGTATTGAAGACTCAACCTTGAAGCATCTCTATATAGATGGTTTGGCAATTATGTGCTCAGGAAAGACCGTAGGAGAAATAACCCGTAAATTGCATCCTAAAATAGTAAATAATGGGACAAACATTGGTTTTGTTTTTGCCAAAGAAAAGGCACAAAGTATCCATTCTCCTCATTATGATCCTATCTTGGTGAAAATATAATTAAATGTGTTAGTTAAAAGTACTCTTAAGAAAATGGACACTATACACCATGCTGGATTAAGGTTTTGTATTGGGGCTTTCCCACCAGTCCAATAAAATCATTGTATAGAGAGTCCGGCTTAACATCACTCCATATCAAACGAATTAAAATAACTTGTTCATATGCTATGGGTGTTTTGTGCAGACCTAGTCATCAAAATAATTATATATTATTCTTAACAGAGGACCTATATTAAAGTAGACCAACCATTACTTCTCCCTTAAGTGTCCGGCTCAATAATTGTCTTAAAAACATTGATATCACACAGTTACCTAAGGTATATCCAGAGGGACCAAATAAAATACCCCCATGGACAATTCCAAATTTAGAAATTAATCTTAATCTCCACGATTATCCCAAAGACTCGGTCCCACGTGAGTTCCTTGTCCAAAAATTTTATGAAATTCTCGATCATTATGAAGGAGTAAAGAATGATTTGGAAGTATTTTGGGGTGATGCTTACCCTTGCTTGGGGGTAAAAGTGGCGGAGTCAAAAAGACTAGCAAAGATGTAGAATGTCCCCCTTTAATAATAAATCGACGGGTCTGAGCGTTTTTCTACATTCTTGACGCAGTTCCTGAAAATGGCTCTGTTGCGTTTTCATTTGGCCACCCTGTATATAAATGTGTAGGTACCTAATTCATGTTGCCAAAAATATAAAACGCTATGAACGCAATTCAGATTCTCATAAATATCAAACCAGACATGGTAAACTTATTAAAACTACCAAATCACACTACAAGTTTACATCAAAAGTCATAAAATGGATGTATTACCAGAAAACATAAAAACTAAAACTAATCTAAATTTTCTTAAATCTAAACTTAAGAAATACCTTGTGAGTAAATGTTTTTACAAAGTAGCCGACATATTTACTTAATAACAATGTAATAGATTTTTTATATTTATGTATTATTGTGTTGTTATTGTACATTATTGTTAATAAATACTAGCACTATTTCTGAATTTAAGTATCTTTTTAATAAGGGAATTACAGGTTTCGAACAGGCATGCGAAATTGATGTACTATATGATATTTTTTGGAAGCACTTAGACTATTGTTTTCAAGTATCTCATCCTAAAAGAACATTTACAGTCACAG